CTCATTGCTGTAAATAAGTTCCAGAGGGTTGTAGCCGGATCCTCATTGCTGTAAATAAGTTCCAGACGTATGTAGCCGATTCTCATTGCTGTAAATAAGTTCCAGAGTGTCAGAGTGTTGCTGTTTCGCTGTTCTGGTTCCATTGTAGTGCAAATATGTAGCGGGATCCCTGTTCGCCGGATCCTTTTGCTATAAATAAGTTCCAGAGTGTTGCTGTTTAGCATGTTAGTACCAGAGGGTTGCTGTTTAGCAAGTCTTCAATTTCCTCTCCGCAGATATGTAGCCGGATCCTCATTGCTGTAAATAAGATCAGAGGGTTGCTGTTTAGCATTTGCTGTAAATAAGTTCCAGAGGGTTGCTGTTTAGCATGATAGTACCAGAGGGTTGCTGTTTAGCAAGTCTTCAATTTCCTCTCCGCAGATATGTAGCCGGATCCTCATTGCTGTAAATAAGATGTAAATATGTAGCCGGATCCTCATTGCTGTAAATAAGTTAAAGATACATGTAGCCGGATCCTCATTGCTATAAATAAGTTCCAGAATGTTGCCGGATATGTTCTGGTTCCATTGTAGTGCAAATATGTAGCGGGATCCCTGTTCGCCGGATCCTTTTGCTATAAATAAGTTCCAGAGTGTTGCTGTTTAGCATGTTTTTGGGCGTTGAAATCTCCTAATACTATAGTTTTGTGTGAGAAGTCCAGCTATGTTTGTATCCTTGTAGCCCCATCTGATGGAATGGACGTTGGAAGTCTTCTAATACTACAGTTTTGTGTGAGATGTTCAGAGAAGTCTCCTAATACTATAGTTTTGTGTAAGATGTTCAGAATAGTTGGGACAATTCTGGGAGGATTATAGACTGCATATATCTTGAAGCGGTTTTGACATGTGTGAGTTGTTCAGAAAGTCAAAGTTGGGACAATTCTGGTTAGTGAGATGTTCAGAAAGTCAAAGTTGGGACAATTCTGGGATGGATTATAGACTGCATATATCTTGAAGCGGTTTTGACATGTGTGAGTTGTTCAGAAAGTCAAAGTTGGGACAATTCTGGTTAGTGAGATGTTCAGAAAGTCAAAGTTGGGACAATTCTGGGATGGATTATAGACTGCATATATCTTGAATTGGTTTTGACATTGCAGGTGGATTATAGACTGCAAATATCTAGAAGTGGTTTTGACATTCCCAAATCATTAATCTGATTATTTCACATTTGTCTTGTGTCGAGCCCATACTCCTGATTATTTCACATTTGTCTTGTGTCGAGCTCATACTCTTATGAGAGGTCGTAGTGTGAGGTGAGGCCTTCTTTTACTCCAGTGATCAGGTCGTAGTGTGAGGTGAGGCCTTCTTTTACTCCAGTTTAGAATTCCACTTGCAACTTGCCGGTATTTAGGTAGATTTCTAAGAATTCCACTTGCAACTTGCCGGTATTTAGGTAGATTGTACAGGGGTTAACAACTTGCCGGTATTTAGGTAGAAGGCACAGGGTGTAACCTAAGGCCTTCTTTTACTCCAGTCAGAATTCCACTTGCAAATTCCTTCTTTTACTCCAGTTAGAATTCCACTTGCAACTCGCCGTTAGAAGGTACAGAGTGTAACCTGGGAATTGGTAATACTTCTCTATTGTACAGGGTGTAACCTGGGAATTGGTAGTACTTCAGTTTGGAGTTAGAATCTCACTTGCAACTTGCCGGTATTTAGGTAGAGTTGTACAGGGTGTAACCTGGGAATTGGTAGTACTTCAGTTTGGCATCAGGGTGAATGTAGCTTCCATAATTGTGAAAATGTCTCCATCATAGGTTAACCTGGGAATTGGTAGTACTTCAGTTTGTCATCCGTATGTAGCTTCCATAATTGTGAAAATGTCTACATCATAGATTTGAGCTGGGAATTGGTAGTACTTCAGTTTGTCATCCTAAATGTTTGCTTCCATAATTATATAATTGTGAAAGTGTCTACATCATAGGTTTGTAGGATTTTCTGTACGTGGATCTTTTTGTCCGGTTACATTCCTCCAGCATTCCGCTGGAGGATTTGAAGACGTTGTGATTCGCCTTAACGAGGGCGATTTTTCTTATAGCCTTTTTTCAAGCTAATCATAATAAATAGAAGTCAAAATGTCGAGTGATAGACTTTTTTTGCCGTACGAAGGTACGTTGTCCAGGGTGCACCACGTGGAGGTAAGTCTATCGCGCACCCCGGGCTTGGCGAACTAAAATTTGATATGTGAACACAAAGGGGATAAAATGAAGACACTAAGAAAAGGATGATATGGAAATGAAAGCATTGGACTCTAAAAAGGTACTCATTTACGTGTTGCATGCTGTTAATACGTTAAATCTATAAAGGACTAATTCGAATAAAAATCGAAGGCATAGTAGTTGATCAGTTCGTCACATCAACGTAGTTGAATTGGTTTCTGAAGTGTGCATTCCTCTTCTTTTTTTCAATATTTTGGAAGAGGGGTGTGCGATAGACTTAACTCCACATGGTGCACCCTGGGCAACGTATACTCATACGACAAAAAGTCTATTAACTGGCAGTTAATTTCTCACTTCAAACTACCATGACCCCACTGTATGCCATATTCGACTACTTCCACAGTACTCACCTCACCTTTTTCTACCTTTGTGTCTGTCTCTTTTACATCTTTTGAAACACTCTTCTGTCCCCGCCCCATCTCGACTTTTTCCCTTTGGTGTTCCTTCCTCTCTGTGAAGCCTGGTTTCTGCTTCTTTGATGAACCTTCCCTCTGTAAAGCCCGAACTATGCTACTTTGATGAACCTTCCCTCTGTGAAGCCCGTAGCTCTTTTTGTCACCTTGATGTTTCTCCTCCTCTCTGTGAAGCCTGGAGTCAACTAAAGGGCTAATGATAACTATCAAAACGCCTGCCATTTGGTATAAATAAATATTAGCGGCTGATACAATCAGACTGCAACTACGATATTACTTGTTGTCTAGTGAGATGATATTCTAGTTAGATATGTTCAAATTCAATTGTGCGACAGAAGATATTTTACCCAAAACCTATTTCTCCCATCAAGTTAATGTGGAGCTAAGTAATTTCAAATAAGAAATTATTATTGGGGTTAATTTTTGAAACCAAGATTAGAGAGAATAATATAAGGTGCAAGAAAATGAATAGAACGAGTAGGTGCCTTTAATCATTGCACCCCCGAATTGTTTTTTCCCTAAATGCGCCCAACAACACTCACACGTGCCTCATAGCAGGCTGGTGCCACCGACACGATGAGTTTTGGTGGTAACAGGCAAGGCTATAGATGTATTGAATATGCGCCAAAGGGTAAAAGCGCCTTCTGCTACGAGTCTAATACCAATGGAGCTTATTGTGAAAGTTCACCGTGCTGTCCTAAGGTCATTAAAGGATTATTGTTACAAAAAATAGCAAAGGACGAAAGTGGGCTTGAATGCGCTAGATCTAATAAATAATTAATTATGAACAAATCAATTGTTAAAACGGGTAGTAGTGGCTTGCTGGAGAACAATCACAAGTGTTAGAAAAGCTGGTTTGTGAAATAATAGCAATTGCTTGAACATAATTTGAATTTTGCTCAATGATTTTGTAAAACCATTGGCTATTTGGAATGTCACGTGATCAACAAAAGGAAAGGTAGTGGACGGTCCTTTCACCTGCCTCGTTTCTGGACAGGCGTGGGAACTGGACTCGATTAAGGCGACTGAATTCAAAAATTTTATTCACCAAACTGTGAGTCATCGTCCATTTATGCGGACAAAGGCATAATTATCTGATAGGTTCAGTGAAATTGGAAGCTGGTTGGGTTAGTATGGGAAAGTGGCCCTTATGATTCGCTTTCAAAATTGCAATTATTGTGATAAGAACGAAAAAAATTAGTTTTCCATAAAACCATCAACTCTGCTTACAATTTCTTCCTTTTATTGTTTTCAAATCTACAATATGCAAGGACTTAGAGACTGATTTTTGTAAACGCGCATTTTAATTAAGTTAAGAATTGAAGATATTAAGACACTTTGGCTTGGTTAACGTAGACAAGAGTGTGCTTTATTTCACTAAATTATTGAAACCTTTTCTTATCCGCTAACACATCCTGTAGTCACAGGATGTACCAGTTTATTTAGATATTACATGTCTAAGCATGACGAAGTGGTATAGTGTTAAATCTATTTTCTGATAAGGTGACGGATTCCAAATGGAAGGTTAAGAATGACTCTGGATAGGGAAAACAGAAAACAGGTGGCAGTTCCTTCCTAAAACTTTTATAGAAACTCTAGGCCACTTATTTCGTACTTTCGCAGGTCAATCCACTCTTGGCAGATGATTCTATCTAGATTATCTACTACGTTATCAGAAATAGCACACACACGAATGCTTGTTTGTACGGGCGATTCCATCAATGTTGTAAATTAAGTTCTTCTACGTTCGAAACGAATCTGATAATATCCGTAGTATGGTTCGAAACGCACAAAATTACTGAAAATATTTTCGTTTTCAGTATGAAAAATGTGTTAGACTAATCGATACCCTATTTATACAAAAAAGAGTTCTAATAATATGCAAAATAGATAAATATTACACTTTTTGTTTCGCAGGAAGTGAAAAATGTTATTTTGTAAAATTTGATAGATAAACCACCAATTGAAGCAAACGATTCCTAGACCATTTATACAGTTTCCGTTAATTTATTGTACCGTTTTTAAGATTCTTATTTATAACTTATTTTTTGCAACATATATATAATACTAAAATCAAGGTCACTAACCTATGTGGCAGTTTAAAGGATCTTAACTATTAGAAGCTGATTGGGCACATTTAATGAGCGAAATCCAAAAGTCACTCGGAACTAGCAGTGTCAGGTTGATCTTAATTCGACACTAATTTTCCAACTCAATAGTGTTAAGGTAATCAATCAATTAGTGTTAGACGAGTTCGAAATTTCTTTAAATTCATTTGTGTTGATTTTGGGGCCTTAAATATTTTTTTTGCTTTTCAGCACTTTGTTGACATGTTTAGCTCAGCTTCTATTGTTATACGACATGTAGTTTTCACCATTCTTCTGTACTTTTGTATGAAGAGTTTGTTCTCAACTTCTGCCAATAAATCCATAACTTACCGTCGTAAGTTTCCATTACTCACTAGCTCTATCGATTTAGCCAATGGCCCTACTGAAAATTCCAAAATTTCCAACGTTGTCCTTATGGTCGTGGATGCCTTAAGGGCTGATATGGTCTCATCGAAAAATTTTTCCAATAGTTGGCCAAACTTGAACGACATAATGAAAAGGAACATGGTGCGGTGTTTTACTTCCTTTCTTACGGCTCCCTCTGTTACAAGCCCTCGAATAAAGGTTTACTCGAATTGGCGCGTTGAATTACGCTAATTTTAGGCGATTGCTACTGGCAGTGTGCCGGAATTCATTGACATCCTCTACAACCTGGAAGACTCAGGACTGAAGCAGCCGTCTTGGGTTCAACTCATGTCGAAGCACGATCGACGGCTTGAAGTTTATGGTGACGATACATGGATTCGACTATTTCCGGGGGCTTTCAAACGCTCGGATGGAACAACCTCCTTCTTTGTAAATGACTTTTATGAAGTTGATGAAAACGTCACCCGACATCTTGACAACAGACTTGAAGCCTCCAAAGATTGGGATTTAATGATATTACATTATCTTGGACTGGACCATATAGGGCATGTTCAGGGACCACACGGCGATGCTATGCCGTCGAAGATAAGAGAGATGGATCTTGTTCTGCAGAAAGTCGTTAGTGGTTTGGTATGTACTTGTTTCATTTTTATGCTTAGGTCAGTTTATAGATAAACGAGCACCGCCTTACTGAAAATTGCGGACGCTCATTTAGATTATTGTCTTTTTCTTCACAATTATTATACTTATAATTTAAAGTTAATGTTTTAAAGATTGGACTATTGAGGCTTTTGTCATTTTATCTGTTTCCCACTTACTTGTTAAAATTGTCTTTATAAAAGGCAGAAGAATATCTCGAATCACTTTCCAGTAATGACTTATATCCCACAACAATTTTGAACTCCATCGGTGGAAATTTCGTATTTAGCATCAAAAAAGCGAATAAATTGAAATATTCTTCAACAGGTGGTCTAGAATTCCTTCCTCTCTTCACCGGTTTTTCTTATTTTAGAAAAAAATTGGTGGCACATGAGACAACATGAGTAGGTTTTTGACCCCCC